AAAGTGACCTCCTAACCTCGCTTCAGTCATACTGTCCTGAAGGTGCCCCAGGAGGTTGGCAAAGAGAACGCATCTCTTCGAATGATATATAGTGATGCCTGTAGCATTGTCAGAAACTCAGCTTCAGGGCCTGTGAGGAAAGAACTACCATTGATTGGTGATGTCTGCGGTGGGGTAGTGATCAGGTGTGGTTGCATTCATTCACTCATCCACACATGTTCAATAGGTGTTTATTCAGCACCTACTCTGTGCCCTGCACTTGTGCTAATGAGCTAACCTCTTTGCAAGACCTCCATTTCATAGGCTCAGCCACAGAAAGAGCAAAAAAAACCCCAAGCCAGGGCTCTGCTCTGCTCCGGACCCTCTCCCTTTGAGACTCTTAGAGGCTTTAGAAAAGGTCTGTGCCATCATATCATTGATAAGTTTTCACAAATGCCTAGGGTGCCTAACTGGTTTTCTTGGTTTCACTGGATATGGCTGGTAATTGTAGTTCTGCTTTGGTTATGTAGCTGTATTCCTATTATGTTAATATGTGCATGCAATTTAATTAGTAATTTAAAACCTATACACGCTTATGTTACACTACAGGAAGATATGTCAAAGTAATAATCAATCTTCCCATGTTTTCTTCCATCTGCTACTTCTGTAGCTTCTCTTCTTCCTTCATAATTACAACCCCTAAGTAGAATTCATGCCTCATATCAAAATTACCGAGTATCATAATTCTTCCAAGTGGTAAAGATACCTCAAGACAAATGCTGGGCATAGAAGCCACAGGGCATAAATCTGCAAAAAAGTAAAAAGCTAACCTTTTCAAACAATATTGCTTCTCTCTCACTTGCCAACTTCACATTTCCCTGTATGGCCCCGGAAGATGACTGGTTAGCCAGAGACGGGTAAGATTCCTCAAGGGAGGAACAACCTAAGACAGGCACAGTCGCAGGGGGGCCATCAGGTGAGAAATTGGGGATCAACAGAGGTGAGGCTCAGAACCTCACCCCCCCTGCTTTGAGAGAAATCTTCTGCATCCGTGGATGTCTTGCTGCCCTTGTCTAGCCTGGATTAATACTTAGTCCATAGGCACACACCTGATCATCTGATCATCTACATTTGCCCTCTTACAGCACTAAACTATGTTTTCTACCTTTATCTTGCATCTACCTACCACTTCAGCATTTTATTNCATAATTGACCTGATTGTTTATAGTTCATGATGAGTGATCAAAACCGAAAGTTTCTGTGATGACTGCCCTTGCACTGTTCACCATGTAAGAACTTATTCACTATGTAAGAACTTGTTCACCATGTAAAACTTGTTCGTTATGCTTCAGAAGATTGGAGACTGTTGAGAATTAGGCATGGGGTTGATTAATGATTGTTCATTGAGTCCCCTATACAGAATTTTATTGTTGTTACCATATGATCAATAAATATGAGAGATGCCCTCTCAAAAAAAAAAAAAAGGAAAGGTCTGTGTCCCTTTCTTCTCAGGGTCTTGAACAAATTATCTGCTTGGTAGTTATTTGTGGAAGGGAGAAAATACGTGTGTGAATGAATTACCATATTTTCCATTTTTAATTCTTTCATTTAACAAAGAAACCAATATATACATTTTGCAAGGCCTATTCAAGTATATGGTGATGAATTAGAACCAATATTTGCCCTATAGGAATTCATTGTGCCATCTGGAGATTAGAAACGTGCCCATATATCTATAAAACAAAGTTGTTACTTACAAATTCAAGTTCCTTGAGGTGCCTCACTTCAGGAAGGCAGATATAGCTTGTCTGGGGTCCAAGGGACCAGAAGGGAGACTAGTGGGAAGGTGACAACCTGTAGGACAAAGGGTGAGGCCAGCCACCCCTCCCCTGCCCCTGCCCCACCCAGACAGGGCCCCCTCCATGTCTCCCTGTCCTCCTGGGGCCCGGAAACAGAACAGCTGTGCAGGTCTGGTGGCAGCAAGAGGTCAGAATGGGAGGGCAACACAAGCTCCCTGGAGGAAAACTCATGAAGATGTCAGAGTCTTGCTCTGAAAAGGCCAGGTTGTTTGTCACCTGGGTTCTGGCAATCATTCACATACTTTGTAACTCAGGAAACAGTATGGAAGGAGGGAGGCAAGGCAGGCCCTGCACCAGCCCACTAGCAGGCCAAGTATGGCTGGCCCCCGCTGAGCACCTGTTTCAGCCTAATCAGTGGTACCCAGGACTCCGCCCAGTATCACAGGCACAGAGGGGCTCTGTCTGTACCTCCAGCTCCCAGTATAGTCCCTGCACTTGGCTAAGCTACCCTTCCCGGCCCTGGGGACCTGCTCATTCCTGCTGTGTGCTGGTTCATGGGAAATGGGATGTTGTAAGGGTGGGGATAATCAGGAAAGGAAACAGAGCAGCCCAGGGCCTGGGAGCACGTGGTGAGGTGCAGGGAGGGAAGGAGGTCCAGGATGCAGTGGTGGGCCATGTGGACAGGAGGGTACAGTGTTGGGAGATGGAATCCACCCTAGGCCCTGGTCAAGCTGTGAGCCCAGAGATGGGCCCAGGGACTCATGGAACCCCCTACCCAGAACTGAAACCTCTCTTCGGGGACTGCCTGAGGCCAGAACCATGAAGCAGTGCAGCCTATGTGCTGCATTTTCGAGGAGTCTTGTCTGGTTGACCTGTGAGTGAGCCTCTCTGACTACAGGAGCCATTCTTGGTGGTTTTGTCCTGTGGGGAGCAGGAAGCATGCACACTGCAGACCCAGGCACACACACAGAGGTATACATGCAACATGTGTGTACACACGGGGGCCTCCCACACGGGCACTCTCACACAGGCCCCTTGGGCCCCTCTGTGGCTGGCTGGCTGAGGGGCCTCCCTGGCATGTGGGGGCCGGGACCCAGAGCAAACAGTGAAGCAGGAGGCTGTGCTGCAAACGCACCCATAGGGGCCCTGTGACCACGAACCTTCACCTGGACTGGGACATGCCCTCACAAGGCCCCATGAGGATGGCTCTTCATAGTTTTTGTTTTGGTTGGTTGCTTACAGAAAATTGTTTCTGAGACTGCTGACGAAGCACCAATCTATCTGAAACAGATTTCTCTTACCTGGAAATGTACCCAAGTGTGTACCTGGCTGTGTATGCTCACACAAGGAGAGAGTGTGCACGTGTGTGCACAGGAACACAAGCTGCTATACTGAGGAAGAAGCTGGAAAAGGAGAGAAAGGCATGGAGTTTTGATCATTCTTATACATAGGGATATGTGTGCATGTGTGTGTGTGCGTGCGCACATGTGCACACAGTGGTAGACACACATACATACTTCCATTTTTGTCACAGCCTGTATTCCATATGAGTGATTTTAAATCACTTTTTTGTCAGAGATCTGAGCCCCCTTAAACTCATAGCTCTTAACCTTGACTGCATATTAGAATAATTTGGGGAACTTTTAAAAATCCCAGTGTCCAGGCCACACTCCAGGCCAATACATCAGAACTTCTGGAGATGGGACTTTGGCCCTAATACTTTGTATCAATATCTAATAATCTCCTCAGATTATTCCAGTGTCCTGCCAGGGCTAAGCAGTTCTCTGCCTAGAAAGTCTTTCTCTCGTTGCTCTGCACAGTAAACTCCTATTCACCCTTCAAGACCCAACTCCCAAGGCCCCTTTCTAGGAAAGCCCCTCCTGATACCTTCTCAAGGAGTTAGTTTTTTCTTTCCTGAGGCTCCCCACAACATCTTAGTCATCTGACTGTATCATAATTATCTGCTCTCTATCTCTGTACAGAGCCATGAGCTCTGTGCAGACAGGCATTACATGGAATCCATCTCTCTACTGCCAGCATCTAGCTTAATGTCTGATATGCAGTGATGATCAATAGATGCTTCAGAATGAAAGGGAAGCATGTAATGAACAGGCCATGACCAGGAGAGGGGAGAGGAGGAGAGGCCATGGGCTGTTTCTGGGTGGTAAGGGTGTGGGTCTGGTCTCTGGCTGCAGGATAAGGGTGCTCTCCTTATCTTTGCTAACAGAAAGGGTCCTCTTTTGTGAAAAGTTGGATGTGATTGATCCACATTCCCTGCTTCCTTAGGAAGTGCCACCAGAGTCACTCAAAGGTTTAGAGGGCCTACCGAGCGGGGCTGTGACTTGTGCCTAGAGTCCCAGGGTACTCGACCCTTCCTAACTGTCCTTCTTGGCCCCATTCCAAGCCCACTCTGGCCTATGGCTAGGGTCTCTCTGCTCTGAGGGGTACTCTCAGCACTCTGGGTCCCTGCTTCTGCCCCAGGTCCAGGACCAGCCCAGTGCCTGGGAAACCTGAGTGCATGAGGGAGAGGCACCCACAGCCGGCTCTGCCAGCAAACTTCCCAGCCCCAGCCCTGGAGCCTGAGGGGCAGACCGGGGTGGGGGTGGGGGAATCCAGGGACGATGTGCACCCTGCAGGAGCCAGCCTTCTTTCCTCCCCGCCTCCCCTCTGCTTGCGCAGCCCTGCGCTTGGGCACAGCCTGCCCACCCGGACAAGCCTTTCCTAGTTCTGTCACCCTCCCCGGCCCCAGCGGGCCTTCCTGGTGCCCATCCCAGGCCCCCTGAGAAGCAAGCTGACAGGCCATGCAGACTCCGGGCGGGACTGGACGCTGGCTGGAGGGGTAGGGAGCACAGATCTGGGGTGAGAGGCTGCCCTGATCTGAGAACTAGCTCTGGCCCTGACTGGCCCTGTCTCCTGGGAGCCTATTTCCTCATCTCTAAAGGGGATTAAAATACAGTGCCTTGCCTCATAAACTCGTGGGATGAAGAAGAGAAAGGTTCTCACATGTCCTGTCCAGGCCTCATGTCATAGTCCGGGCTGAGGCTGTGGGGGGCCCCCTGCCCCTCACACGCGCAGACGCTCACACTCACATGCTGCCTGCCTCCTGAAAGGTTCCCAACCTCTAGGCAGAGACCAACCTCTCCCCTCCCCCACAACACCCCCCAAGCTGACGGGGGAAAGTCCTCGTGGTCACCCACAGAGTCCACTCAACACAAGCAAGTGTTTTCTTTACATGTTGGGGCTTTTACTTCAATTTGAAGCAGATGGTTGAGAACAGATGTGAACAGCTTTGGCCTTTTGAGCACAAGGAAGGAGCAGACCTTGGCTCTGAACACACCTCCCCCCCACATACCGGCCCATTCCCTGGTCCTTTCCTCCCCTCTGCCCCACTGCACATCAGGAACAGACCACCAGCTTCCAAGCAGGGCACCATCTTATTTGCCCAGCCAGGAGGGCAGACCATGGGCAAGGAGTGACTGGCTGGGGAGCTGGGGAGCAAAGACCCTTAGGCAGGGTGCCTTGGGGCAAGTCCCTCACTGCTTCTCTCTCCTTGCCACCTTCCCCTGATGTTCAGAGCCCAAGGGGCCTGGGCCCAGGGGACATTGAAAATCAGGGTCAGCGGCCTGGGTGGCCAGTGGGAAAGAGAAGGGGCCAGGATCTCAGATCCTATTCCCTGCAGGCACCCCAGCCTCCCTCAGGGACCCCAGAAGGCTCATCTTGCACCAACCAGCTCAGGGCCCCGGGTAGAAGAAGCATTCCAGGTCAGAGTCGAACACTTCCAATGGTCACCAAATGTCCATCCCTTCCATGAGTGCCTAGTGGAATTGCTGATGTATCTTTGGCTTGAGATAGAACTTGGGCAACAGGAGGAGCAAAACATAGCACTATGGCATGGCTTTTCACTGCGGGGTTTTATCATCACATTTGTTCAGTGTCTCTGTGGAATCTTTGGCAATGAATTTCTGCAGCTGGACAGGGGGCCTCAGGCCCTGGGCAAGGGGAAGGCTCTGCTGTCCCCTCCCTGCCAGGCAGAGGGCAAAGTGCATAGTCACAGAGCGGTGGCTTGGGGAGGGCAGGAGGGTGGGAGGGAGGCAGACATGCCCCCGTCCCACCCTGAGAGGCAGCGGTCTGAGCATCTGGCAGCATCTTGGAGAAGATGAGGCTGGCTTTGGCGAGCTCGCCTGCTCCTCAGGCTTGACTGGGAAGGCCCAACGGCAGTGTCCTTGGTCTAGCCTGCAGTTGGTCACTCCTGAAAGAAACAACCAACCATCATTGGCAGCTGTACTCTGACTCCTGTTTCCTGAAGGCTGGCTGGTACCATGCTGGCCCCCCTGGCATCTCCTCTCCTTTACTCTGCAGCTGCCTTAGGAGGGACTTGTGTGGCCCAAGCAGGGGACCGCTTTCTTCCCCTAAACCAATCAGCTGTGACTAAGGAAGAGATGACAAACCTACCTACCTTGAGGGAGTCAGTAGGTAGTGGAGCCAGCATTTGGACCCAGGACTGGCTTCCTCCAAGCCCACTGTCCCCTCACCCCCTCCCTCTGCATTTCAGAGCTCTTGCTGATATTGTCAGTTTTGGGGAACAGGCAGGGCTGCAGGGCAGAGGGAGCTCAGAAACCTGGTGCTGACACCACAGCCCCCAGGTCACCTCTGATGCATCTCAGAGTCAGGCCCGCTGCCCTTGCGAATTGCATCCGCAGCCCCTTCTCCTGGCACTCCGCACACAGGAGCCCTGCACCTACAGTCAGGAAGCTGACTCTAGGTGCAGCCCGTCCACCCACTGACTGGGTGACCCTAATTTCAAACTTTCTTCTAAGCAGTAGAAATGAAGCCTGACCAGCAGAACCCTAACACGAAAACAGATGAACATGGTCTGGTCTGTTTGGAGTAGCAAGGTAGAGGGGACGCAGCAGTGGGCAGGAGCAGGGTGGGGTGAACACAGAGTCCTATTACAGTCTGTCTAACACAGAGCCTGGGACATCTCTCAGAACCCAGGGTGCTAAGGACACAGTTTGAAAACCACTGGGTTAAACCATCTTTAAGTTCCTTGAAGTCCTGACCTTCAGAATCTTCACTCAGCAGCTGAACTTGGTATTGCTCGTGACGGCAGGGTATGACTTGCTATGACGAAGGGACAGGAGATGGGTAAAAGTCATGGGGCTGCTGGGACTTTGGCTTTTGGAGGAGGTCAGAGCTGGGGTGGGGGTGGGGGAGGGTGGTCTGCAAGGGTCCAAATCCACCCAGAACAAGGAAAGAGTAACAGCAGTCCCCTAACCCAGCCCAGCACAATTCTAATGAAGCAGTTCCAAATATGTCTTCTCTCTGATTCCTGCAAGAACCCTGAACAAACAGCTAAGGACTTCTTTTTTAAGCAAAACATCTGTCAGGCACCTCCAGCATGCCAGGGAGCTTTCTCACATGCCCTTCTCAGAGGTGAGCAAACACAGGCTCAGAGAAGAAGCGCTGTAAGTTGGCAGCACTAGGATTTGAATCCAGACCAGCAGCGTTTATTCTGCCACACAGAGGCTGCTCCTGCAGAAGCACAGGGAGCAGGGAGAGAGCCAAACCGCAAGGCTGGAGGGCCTGCTAACCACAGGCTCTGGTGAGCCTCAGAGGCCTGGGGCGGCCACACTAGGCCCACAGCCAAGGTGTGAGGCCGGAGCGAGGCTGGAAGCGGTGTGCGGGGAGGGCGAGGGAGCTGGGCCAGGACAAGGGTGTGTCCTTCTGCTAATAGAGGCTAAGAAGGGAGAAAGGAAAAGTGAGCAGAGGGAGCATCTTGATGTGGTGAGCCCAGGCTCACATTCCTGGAGCCCAGGGGGCATGGCTGGCCCCAGCAGGAATCTGCTTTTTGTTACTGAGTCTGAGGAGGATGATTAAGAATCGGAAAGGAAACCCAGGGGGATGGCACTGGGTCTGTGGCCCAGGCAATGATTTACAGCCCAAGTCATCCTGGCGCTGGCTGCCTGGGAGGGCCCTGCAGAGGACAGCTGACCAGTGGAGCTCCTTCCTCATTCAGTCTGCCTGTGGTCTGGGGATGGAGGAAGGCTGGGTCGGATGGAGACGTCCTACTGGTTGCCCCTCTACCAGTCTCAAACCCTGCAGAAGCCCTCTACCACCCAAGATCAAGGGAGCTGGTTCCTCTGGCCAAGGCCTGACCTTCAATCCTGATCCCACCCTTTCCTTGGTGTATACTGGACCTGAGTTCCCACCACCCACCTCAGCCCAGGGATCCCAGCATATGCAACATCTGTCCAAGGAAGCCTTATGTCAAATGGGTGTGGTGGGAAGAATACTGGGAGGCCTTAATTGTTGGGACCTTCTCTGCAGTTAACCAGTTATGTGACCCTGGGGCACTAGCTCTCCCTCTCTGTGCTTTAATTCCTGCACTTGTACAGCAAGGGGGCTCTGCAGAGCACTAGCCAGATGAGGTGTACCCTATGAGTTTGGGGAACACCACAGACCTTGCCCCCATCTCAGAAAGTCACTATGCAGATCAGCATATTAAAGGCTCTAAAAAGTCCAGCAGTAAAGAAATTCATGTGGCTTTATTTAATGCAGGTGTTTTCCTCAATTCATTTGATCATGTGATTGCAACTCCATTGTGAGGAATAGGAACTCATTCCGACCTTCCGGCAAAGCTTAGTTGAAGCTACCAAATGGCACTTTGCAATTGGCCAAGGGAAGGTTTCCAGAAAGGCAGAAAAGGGGTTGCAAACCTCGGTATGGACAATCTGTGGCCCTTTCTTCTAGGCACTGCCAAAAATGGAGCTTGGCCACTTCCAGGTACCTGCTTCTTTCTTGCCTACCAACCTGCCCGGTCTCTCAGCATCCCAGCCCTAACAGCAGAGGCAACTGAGTGGTCCAGCCTCCATCAGCTTTCTTCCCGTAAACCACTCAGCTGTGACTAAGGAAGAGATGACAAACCTACCTACCCATGCAGCTCTTCAGAAGGAGCAGCATACACGTGTGATGGTGTGTGTGCGTGAGCCTAACCGCAGATTTTAGGAAGAGGGCTGGCAAGTCCTCACCTCGGTGACAATCACAGCACAGACCCTTTCTCATGCAACCCCCAGCAACATCCTGGTCACCGCATGAGAAGCGCGGCTTGACAGAACCTCTCGAATCGCTTCCTGCCCTGGCTTCTGGGTGGTGTTCCGACGTGGGCCAAGGTCTGGGCACCACTGGCTTAGGCTGTTGGCTACTGTCCTGGGAGCCCCTGCACCACGGGCCCTCAGCACTGATGATGCTCTTTAAACAGAGGCTCTGCCACTCAAGTAGACTTTGAGAATGACTATGCAAGATGGCTTCTTGGTCCCCTTCAGCTGAGTCTGAGGCAGGCGATTTGGTCAGTGCAGCCAAGGGGTTGAGTTTATTGCGTTTAGAAATCCCGTTTGCTCTATTTACTCAGAGTGGCCAGAATGGCAGCTCCATGAGGACCCGGCTGTGGTCTGTTTTGCTCGATGCTGTATCCCCAGAGCCTAGAACAGTCCAGACACACAATAGCATAGCAATAAATATTTGTTGAAGGAGTGAATAAATATTTCCAGTCACAGGCATTTTATTTACTGTAGCTTTCATATACCACAAGATATGTTTCTTATTTCAAATATGACATTGAGCATTTTTGTATATGTGCCTGTAATTTAGGGGAATTTCATGGTAATTGTTGTGAACCCTGAAACAATCTTGCATCTTTTTGGCTTTTGTTCACTTCCAGCTTTTTTCTTTCTAATTACACATCTGCTTACTAAGTTTGTCTCTGGCTTGAGTGGACTGCTTTCCTTCCCTGATCACATCTTTGTACTATAGCACAACTTTACCACTTTGAAGCATTTAAAAAACATTTTTAAAATTTGAGGTATTTTACCTTTTAAATTTATTTTCAGTCTCTGATGTCCACTTTACCTACTTAGCCATTTTTCACTCTTTTCAAATTCTACATCTTTTCTATATTTAAGCTATTTGACTACTTCTACGTGCAGAAAAAGATGTCCAATGGCATTGAAATCCTGACAGTTTTTTTAAATTGGTTTGTCCTGAAAAAGAACAGCCAGATTTCAAATGTTATTTTAAAACTAGAATCTGAAAGTCATTTAAAAAACATTTTTAAAATTTGAGGTATTTTACCTTTTAAATTTATTTTCAGTCTCTGATGTCCACTTTACCTACTTAGCCATTTTTCACTCTTTTCAAATTCTACATCTTTTCTATATTTAAGCTATTTGACTACTTCTACGTGCAGAAAAAGATGTCCAATGGCATTGAAATCCTGACAGTTTTTTTTAAATTGGTTTGTCCTGAAAAAGAACAGCCAGATTTCAAATGTTATTTTAAAACTAGAATCTGAAAGACAAGCCAGGAGGGCAAAGGGGAAGTAATTTTCAAGACCCACACTATTAGGCACTACTTTACCTTACTTTTAAGGAAGATATATGGGCTAGAAAGGGGATTTCATGTTTGGGTCTACATGCTGAGCACTGGGTTCACCGTGGCCCCAAAGTCAGTGGGCTGTGGGGCCCTGGGCAGGCTGGTTCATCTCTCCAAGCCTCAGTGTCCTCATCTTTAAAATGAGCACAGTAATGCTGCCCACCTTCTAGGTCGGCTGCAAAGAATCACTGAGCCAAGCCCCCAGGAGGGTGTGGCATACAGCACAAGCACTCGAAGGTGCTGGCTCATGTTCCTGCAGAGCTGGATGCTCTGTTTGACTATCTGGTGTTTAAAAACATAAAATGGCATCACAGGCTGAAAAGTCTGTGGAATAAGTAGCCAGAAATGGTCACACTGCGCCAATGCCCTCTTGACCAATTTGCTTTCAATGGATTCTTTTTAAAAAATAAACATGATCTAAAAATCTTCGTTAAGTCATGCCCATCATCTGATGAATGGGTAACTAAAGTGTGGTATAGCTACACAATGGAATATTATTCAGCCATAAAAAAGAATGAAGTACTGATAACATGCTAGAACATGGATAAACCTTGAAAACAGTATGCTAAGAAGCCAATCATGAAAGATCATGTATTATATGATTGCATTCACATGAAATGTACAGAACAGGGAAATCTATAGGTCAGTGGTTACTCAGGGATGGGGGAGACTCCAGGGTAGGAGTGATAGCCAAAGCATACAGGGTTTCTTTTTGGCCTGGTTGAAAATGTCCCAAAATTGACTGTGGTGATTCATGGTTGCACATATGAAAACACCAAAAGCCACTGAACTTTACACTTTAAATGCATAACATCAATGAAATAGTTAACAAATTTTAAAGGACATAGGTAGTTCATGTTGGTTATAGAAAAATTAGAAAAGACAAATAAGTGCACAAAAGAAAAAAATTTTAATCACCTCAGTTGTCCCCACCAAGAGAAAATTATAACATTGGGTGGTATTGTTCCAGATATATTTCCTAGGCTCAGACATACCTATTAGTATTTGAGGAAAGTGGAATTACATTGTGCACACTGCACCGTAAGCTGGTGGCTGCGTTTTCTCGAACATTTCAGCCCATATGTCTTTGCTTTTGGCAGATATGCGTTCACATCTCCAAGGGACCCGCTCTGCTGAAGTTATTCTGGGCACAAGCACAGGCCTGGGCTGCTGGCCTCCAAACTTCCCAGGGAACTGGAAGCAGGTAGGGACCAGCCCACCCCCAGTGCCTCCCACCCCGCCTGGTCCCGGGCGCCAGGGGTGACAGGCAGGAAATTTATGAGCAGTTTGAGTTGGCTGCTATTTGCCGAGGGTAGAACATGGTGTGAATCAAGGATCACACTGTCTCCAGGCTGGGAGCGCCTTCAGAAGTCCCAGGCATCTAACAGTTGCAAAGTTATGGCCAGAACTCCTTGTGAGCCAGAAGAATCTGCCTGGGGACCATGAATTGGGAGAAAAACTCATTTACTCAACAGAGATGTCCTGAGTTCCTATTGGGTGCCAGTTCTGATGGGAACCGGGGCTACAGCCCCTGCCCTGGGGCAGCTTACAGTCTAACTGCAGGGAACAGCTGAAAACCACCACTGCTGGTAAATGCTGTGCACCCCACCTACTCCTGTTGCAGCCCTCAAGGCTGCTCACCAGAGAAGTGACTGGGATTGCCAGGGCTCCCAGCTGCTGTGTGCAGACAGCTGCCTGAGCCGCTAAGAGCCACCCTGCCCCATGATGGGGCGGGGGGCATCCAGCAGTCTAAACCCCTCATTTATGAGGCCCATGGATATGTTCAAACCTCAGAGTGAGTCAATGACATACAGAAGAACTCCCCTACCCGTGAGAAATCACCACCGCATTGGACAATGTTGAGAATGAGAACAGGTAACCCCAGAGACCCCTCTTTTGCTAAGATTCTGGAAGTGAAGCTGGGTCCCAGGTTTGCTGGGCAAGCACTGGGTGAATGCTGCCCATGTCCCCACACATTGTCATCCTAAAGCCTGTGTGCAGTTATGCCCACCCACTGGAACAGTGTGCTCCAGGAAGATGGGGTTTTGTGGCTGTGTCCCTGCTGTCTCCTGCTGAGCCCATGAGGGCCACTTCAAGTTCAGCCTGTCAGCCCCAGCTCCTACCTCCCTGCAGGCTGGAGAGAACAGGTGTCTCCTCCAAACTGCCAAAGTTCTGCATACTGACTCCTCATATATCCTTCTGGGCCACAGTTACGGTCGGTGAGACTGCCATTATCCCCTCGCTCCCCGACACACATCCACAATGAGCTCCTGCAGGAAGGAGCCACGCTGCCCTCGCACCCTGGTCCTCCCAGGCCTGGAGACACGTGAGCAAATCCACGCTCAGAGCTACCATTCATTGAAGTGGCCTCCTGCCAGGCACCACACTGTGCTCCTTTGCATGTGTTGTTTTACACAATCCCTGGGAGGTGGCTAAGGCTGCTTCCATACTACAGACAGGGAAGTGGAGGCCTGAGCAGTCTCCTCACTTGCTGTGGGTCACACTGCTGGGATGCAGCAGAAGGAGGCAGGCCCTTTGGCCCTGGATTGTCCAGCTTCTTCACTGGCAAAGGGGACTGGCAGTTCTCCAAGCCATTCAGTCAGCTGCCACCTTCCCGTGGTTCTCAGAAGAACTCAGTCTTCATCCCTGGGAGCCCAGGGAAGGTGGCTGGCAGTGCGAAACCTGGCACTCCTGGGGCCAGAGCCAGAGCTCCTAGGGAGCCCACTGAGCCTGCAGGGGATGGCCAGGGAGACGGAGGCCCCCGCCGTGCTGACGCCTTCTTGGGCTGCAGGCCACTTTTTCTAGCTGCCAATCTCTGTTTCTCTCCCTGTGCTCTGCCTGTGTGTTTCTGTGCCAGCTCTCTCTTGGCCTCCCCTCTGTTTATCTCTCCACGTCCATCAACCTGTCTGTCTTTCCTGGCCCCCCTCCTAACCCACCCACAGAACAGAGCACTGTGAGGGTCGAGCTGGCCCAGGAAAGGCCTGAGGCCCAGCTGCTGCAGCTTCCCATCTGTTTCCCCGTACTGTGATGTTGTCCAGCCAATTCCACTCGGCTGCACATGGCTCTTTCAGACCCCAGGAGCTCAAGGAGCCCATGACCTTGCCCCTTACCCAGAGGAGGCACCAAGTCTGGAGGGGAACAGACAGCTGGGCAGACAGGTGGCCCAGCCAGGTGAGGGAGGGCCTGCTCCCTCAGCGCTTCCCAGAGGGCCCTGACTCCTGACCCTTCCACAAACACTCCTTGACACCACACACATACACACACAACCACTGTATGGGCGGATGCCTGTCAGGCCTGCCTCCACCCTGGCTGGAGACTGTTCCCCATCACCCTTCCACTCCATTCTTGACCGCCAAGTGACAGCAGGGGTGGTGGGGCACCAACCAGACAAGCCCCTTCACGCCGGAGTGCTGGCCAGCGGGCCTTTGCAAAGACCAGTGTGCCTCCAGGGACTCCCAGGAAGGAGTCTAGCTGTGCATATTTCAGGACCAATTGTAGGCAATAATGGGTGGTCATCAGGCCCCTGGACAGCCCAAACAATCAATTTCCACAATAACAGTGGGCAAGGGCAGTTTTAAGATGAGAAAAGCACCCCTTCTAGCTCCTCACTAAGCTCCTCATAGCTGCATTCTACAGCCACTGTGGGATCCAGGCAGGGTGGGATCAGGGCTCTTTACTCACTGCCACCCTGTCTATTAGTGACACCACAAAATGACAGCAGACACACAAGGGAGAGGCCAAGGTGGGAAGAGAAATGATTCTTGCGCACACACATGGACACACACACACTTCACATGCATGTGCACACACACACACTGACAGGGAATATAGTACGGTGATTAGACGTGCCAGCTATGGCATCAGACAGCATGTTTGAATCATGACTTCCTCATTCTACCAACTCTGTGACTTTGAGCAAGTTACTCAACCTCTCTGTGCCTCTTCATTTAAATTTCTTCACTTAATCTACTACATGAAGTTGTAAGGAGGATTAAAGGACATAACAGCTGCAAAGCCAAGCACTCAGTATTAGACAGCCATAGGTCAGAGC